TGGCACGAGATAAAGGAGGAGGCTCCACCCCAAACACAAGCAGGAGCCAGGAACCAGGTGGAGACGGGCGGCATGCGAGGGCACGCGGCCATGCCACGGCTCTGATACCATCCGTGCCTGCCCCGGGGAGGACACCGCGGCATGGCAGCACACCAGCTGCGCAAACGCCAGGAACATCTATTCGTTCTCGAGGGCAGGTGCAAGCTCGCCCTGCTGATGCTCCGCAGCCAGATGCGAGCCATCCAGCCGCGGCCAGCAGCGCCGAGTCGCTGCCCCTCGGCCGAGCTGCTGCACAACGCCACGCACCTCCGTAGTCAGCCTTTCCCAGTGGAAAGAGCTTCGGCTCTAGACAGACACAGCAAGCACAGCTTGTTGTGGAAACCGCTGCATCTGCTCAGCTGGAAAAGAAAAGGGAGGAGAGAAGGTGTGATAGATGGATAGGGGGAGGCTGAAGGTAATGCAATAACTTCTTGGTTGGCCCTTGGGACCTTCTCCTAGTCAAAGGGCAGCAGGGAGGGACTTTAATCAACTCATTGGACATCTGTGAAAATCAGATGATAAATCAGCTTCACATGTGCATAGATTCTTTGCTTTCACAGAGCAAGCACAGACAAAAGACTCCTCTGACAGAGGCTGAGGTGGGGAAAGCCCCTGTGTCAGAGTTTGCAATTCAGATAACAAGATTAACAGCTCCAGGCTGGAGGGAGAACAGATCTCTGAGCAACTAGGATCAGCTGCTCTCAAACCTTCCCACGCCTTTGGACAGATGCTGCTCTCCTCAACTGGCAAGGGACCCAAATTCCTTCCCGTCCCTTTATGAGCCACTCACACTGCAAGCCTCAGCCCCTGCAACACATTTACATTGGGGTAAAACTGACTGGAGGGGCAAACACAGATGTGGAGGACCCAGAGCAACAGCTCTGGGCTGTCGGTTAAGCCACAGCACCTGTGCAACCTGCTAGCCCCTGCCGAGAAGGTGTTTCACTTCACAGCTGGGACCACTCCGCTTCCTGGCTGCTCCGTGCTCAGGCACCGATTCATGCTGTGGTGTCTTGACGTGTTTCTGAATCCACGAGCAGCTGCCAGGAACACAGCCCGCCCTCTCCGACTGCTAGGGAGGCACAGCACCAGTTATAGCAATGGGCATCCAAGTATCAGAAGTGGATCTAGACTGGGCAACTGGACAAGATCCTTCCACTAACAAGACGAGCTGCATTGTGAATGCACCAACTCCAGACAGCACAGCAACCCCAAGGGAAGGGGTCTCACTGCACAACCGGTGCCCTGCCTGAGCACGGTTTGCTCAGAAGTGCACTCAATATCAGCTCAGCTTCCTTTGTCTTTCAGTTCCAAACTTCTAGTTTCCAGCATCATCCTTCCAACAAGCAGCTGGGCAAGACACTAAGTGTCTTTACACCCACTCAGGTAAGAGAAGAGCAGAGGGGAGAAGAGCAGAGGACAACGCAAACACTAAATCAGCTGCCTTGCCATATGCCAAACAGAAGCTGAATCAAAACTTTCCCCCCAAAAATGTCTACACCTGCATGAGTCTGAGCACCTCTTTGAATTCTTCTCATTCCTCTACCCAGCTGCTTCCCCCTTTTGCCAGCACAGGGGCAGATCATCTGTGGGGCTCTGCCAGCACGCCAAAGCAAGGGGCATTCACCTCCTAATTGCAAAGCAGAAACAGGACAGCTGAAAATGTCTGCAATGTTCCAGCGAGATGGAGCTGGCAACCCGACTTCTCTCCTGTCAGATCCAGAGGTGAATTAATGACCTAGCCCCGCAGGATACTGCACACACATTCCTCCCTGGGCTCAGCAACCTCCAGGATGACCCCAAAGGAGGTATCACACAGCTAATATAAGCAAGCCCTATATGTGCAGTGCTACTCTACAAGGAGAAAGGTGATTTACGGGCTGCAGCGATCTATCACGTGCAGAACCGATGTGCAAGGAGCTTAGAAGATGCCTTTCCTTGAAGGGTTAAGAGATACTCACACCCCAAGGGGGAAGTCAAACTAAGCCATCTGCAGTACGGATAAGACAAGATACAGCAGACCGAAGTTTGAGTGGAAGTCCACACAAGCCCAGTCTTAGAACAAATTGTTTCTGCAATAAATAGCAACTGCCACTTATGATCATACTTGATTTAAAGTGAATGCACTTCCCAATCCTGCCCTCTCCAAATATGCACAGCTTCTCGACCCCAGCACCGACCGTCAGCCTCCCTAGGGCTGGGCATGGAGACAGGACAGCCAGCACGGATCAGAGGCCAGTCACAGGGAACCAAACTACAGAGCAAAGCTGGGGTAAGTCATTTTTCCTCCCTTTCTCTCTGCTTCCCTTGTCATCACACGTCTGTCTTGGCTGTTTAGATTGTCATCTTCTTGGCCTGAGGACTTCAAGTGCCTGTATGCTGCTTAGCACAGAAGAGATCTACATAGCAACGAGGACTTGATTGTATCAGAGAGGATCAGTAATTAACAAATAAAAAGTACTTTGACATTCCTGTGCTTACCCTAAGCCTCCTTAGCATCCACCAGCTGAGACAAAAGTCCTTCAAGGCCTGTTCCCAATACGCCCTTGAGGAAGTAAGGGAGAGGTAAGAGGAAGGCAATAACCCACTTACCAGCTGGCTCGAGAATGGCACTGCACGCAAGGACTGCCAAAAGGCCATCGCATCCCAACACGAGGGTTCTCCTGGCTCTGCTATCGCTGTGGAGGGGCCAACATCTTGTCTCAAGCCCCCGACGTGCACTCTTCTTCTGTTCTCCCCATAAACCCACCATTTAAATGGGCAAATAAGTTAAGGCTGCCAGTGACCACAAACTCTCCCTGCTCTGGTTATAGGACATTCATTCCTATATGCTCAATGCATTTTGGTTTTGTTCCAAGTCTTGGGTAACAAAGGGGCTTCATTCAATTATCTGGCATCAGCTTACCTCAGCACTTCAAAAATCACAGTGCAGAAAGACAGCTAACAAGGCTGGGGCTCTTCTGACCCAAAGCATATCCATCCATATTTCATATTAGCAGCAACCATACAGATAAGATTTCCATGGTAATACTGTGCTGTCTTCCAGCACGATAACTAACAGTTTCTGCCCCCAGAGGAAAATTCAATAGCTGAGAGAGTTTTTCTGTTGACAAAAGGAAAATTAATGGCTTTAAAAAAGGTTCCTTCTCCCCCTGAAAAATGGTTGCATGGGGACTTGCAGATTTGTTCCACAGCCTCCAAAGCACATGTTCACATGTTCCCTCCTTTTTGCCACAATATGTTTGAGCCGCTGGATCCCAGACATTGAGGATGAGCCAAGCTTTCTGCCTGGTAAATTGCTCCAGGCACAGTCTGTGGAACAAGCCAGTATCTACTGGCTCCAGCGGAGCTCTCCACTCCACTGACACAGAGAGGCTGACTCATTTGAAGCTCACAGGAGTATACTTCCACACTCTTCCTCACCCACACAATCAGCTTTCCTTGGTTAACAGTTGTTCTAGGTCACAAACACGCCTCACGTTGTCACTCCACAGGCAAGTGGAAGGGTGGAAGAAGCCAAAAAAGCTTCTTCTACAAGATCTCCCCAGTGCACTGTTGGCCACGGGTCCCAAGGACAGCAGCGTGCAACTCCACCTGCTGCGCCACGCACGCAGCATGACAGGCACCTGGAAGAGACACTGACTCATTCCAAGGAGCCAACGTTCGGCATGAGCAACCCGAGCGAGGAACAGCACAGAGGCAGACAACACAGCATGCCTGAGAGGGAATCGAGTCTCATCCAGGCAAAAGACGTGGTGCGGCTACAAGTCTTCTGGACCCCAATCACCCAGAGCCCAAGAAAGCCAAGATTTGAAAAAGGCACTTGCCCATGATAAACTGCACAACTGTGTCCACCAAACCAGGCCACAGAGAGGAGTCTGCACTTAGAGCTAGAGCTTACCTAGATA